TTCTATGTCTTGGTTAGGCCATCCCAAAGCATTTTCCAACCTAATCAACCTCCCTCGAGCACTGAACATCTAGATAGGTGGTAGATCGGTTCGTCAGGTCGTTATGATATGCAAGGCCGACCTCGAGGTTAAGGTAGGAGCTGTCGGCAGGATTTTGCGACGTCTCATGTGGGTGAAGTGATTAACGTGCTCCGCTGCTTCATTGTCTATTGTCAGACCAGGTATTAACCAAAACCAGTTGTGGAACAAAAATTTGCATTTGGAATTGTCACTGAAGTTTTCCAGAGGACTGTATTTTGTCAACATCTTCGCCTAATAGTAATATATCGTTGCATACTCTACGTCTCCTAATGGATTCTCTTTGGACAGGATCAATCCCAGTAAAGTCAAATCAAGAGAGGGATACATCCATAACCATATATACGACGCAATTGACTTAAGATGGCGAGAGTAGGCGTCATTGACGAACACCACTTGGCGTATGCAACTCACCTAATACCCTATGATAAACTGCAACACACCCATGGATATTCGAATACAGAACCTTCTCTGAGAGAAACTGCCATAAAACCTCTCGATCGATGAAGCTTATTCCTATCCCCAGCGCAATAAGGTGGGCTGGTGTGAGGTAAGTGTTCCTATGTTTCAAAATCTGATGGATAATTGAGACCTAAATGATACATCCCCGTTTAGGTCTGTAACCTATCAAGTTTCTCGAGTTTGCTGCTGCTAAGCTTCATAACTATGATTTGTTCATACACTTTAATAAAGTCGTCGGATAAATTGGCAGTCCTGAAAACCCAAGATGGGATGGATAGTGGTACAGTTTTATAGTTTAGTGTTCGACTGTTGTATTAACGTCAAACACAGACGAGGTAAATCACTCGGTATAGGCTTTAGTTATCTGGAAACCACCAGTACATCAATTCAACAGAAGAAAGGAAGGGGTAATAGATTTATAATCAAGTTCTAGACACTGTGAGGTTACCGCGGTGTGATTACGGACCGTAAATTGTCATAAAACCTATGAAGTCATACACTCAACCAACAACAACAAGCATCAGTCACCATCAACGGGAGAAATTTAACGGAAGTAGTCTCTTTCACCTACCTAGATAGAATTGTCTCAAGTACAGGCGTCACGGGCGCAGATGAGGATGTCAAAGCAGCAAGGATCATCGGAAAGACAGTAAGACAACCCTTCCTGCATTAATCTGAAATAATCGGTGTGAAGATCTACTGCACTGTACTCAGCATAAAGTGTGAACAACATCCGAATTCGCAACTAATTCAGTCAAGTCAGTCAGTGCTTCTGTGTAATGGTTCAGAGACTTGGCGCCTTACGAAAGGCATTTCCAACAAACTGCAGGCATGCACCACATGAACAGCTGCCGCCTACACTCACTCGATACTAAAGATGGAGATCAGATGGCCAGAATAATAAGAACAAGCTGGCTAGCAACGAAGCAAGAACCTACTGCCCAACAAATGTGCAGTAGAAGAAAGTGGAGATGGATTGGACTAGACATACACTGAGAGGACGGTTCGGGATATCACGCGTCAGTCCAGACCAGGCCGTCGAGTGGAAGCCAAATGGGAAACGACGAGTTGGTTATTCCAGCTAAGAGTGACATGGAGGAGATGCTTTGAGGAAGAAATGAAAGGTTGTGGGCAATGGTGGGGCTAGGTTTAAAAGACAATAGAATTCGTGTAAGTCTCATGAAAGGTGTATGCCTAATACTTCTTCACACTATTTTGAAGCGTGAAGTTTGCATTCAAAAGAAATTTGTCCAGTCACTTGAGTTGCAATAAACATAACCTATAAGATACATTTCTACCTTCAAAAATCTTCTCACACACAATACATTCCTCCACTCCTATAATTTTGATTTCTCTTTATATCCATCGTGTTACATCATTTAATTTAGTAACCAAATATTAGTTTCGTCCTTATAAGTCTTCTTATCATTACTATTTCAAACATTATGTAATTCTTTGTTATCCCTTCTATCGATTTATACAAACTAGTCTGAACTTCATTCAACATATTTCATGGAACTTCCCTTTTCCGTTATTATGTGGATAGATTATATAGGTATGCAATTGGACAGTTTGAGAATGATATCGGTGAAGGGATTGACTGTTCACTACACATATTCTGTTCTATTCACAAACTGTTCAGTGGAATCTCAATATAGTTGATGTATAATCCATCAACATGAACACTTAACTATAGATCCTGAAGTAGTAGAGGAAGAAGTTATTGAAAAGAACATTGATTAAAAAAATTAGTAGGAAACTTCCTATGCTTGGCATAATAGGGATTTGTAACTCATGATGTCACTTTTTTTTCCTGATGTTGATCTATACATACTAGTGATATGTATTCTTATAAGTAGAATTCACTATAGTACCTGTATTAATTTTGTCCTTATTTTGAAAAAAGTAATTTTCAACCTAGGTATCACTGATCCACAAATCATCGTTCATTCTATCAGAGTACTGGAATTCATGTCAATCATTGAGTTTGGATTCAATATTTGTCAATTCACGACATAGTGAGACTGCCACTCAATGTCATAGTTGAGTGTTTGTCTTCACGACCACCAGGTTTACCCCACTGGTCACAACGTCTCACTGGAACTTTGGGAATTACCCCCTCAAAGCTAGTCACCAACGAGGACTAGTCCAACTGAATTTGAGGGTTTTTGGGAATTTACAGATTTAGTATTTAGTCGTGAATGCGCACTGTTGAGGAGACCCATACTAGGACGAGACAGCTGTCCAACGCTTCCAGGTTTCCAATCTTCCTCCAACTGATATCACTCCACGGTGAATAGCAACTTGAAAAAAATCTGTAAATTCCCAAAAACCCTCAAATTCAGTTGGACTAGTCCTCGTTGGTGACTAGCTTCGAGGGGGTAATTCCCAAAGTTCCAGTGAGACGTTGTGACCAGTGGGGTAAACCTGGTGGTCGTGAGGACAAACACTCAACTATGACATTGAGTGGCAGTCTCACTATGTCGTGAATTGACAAATATTGAATCCAAACTCAATGATTGACATGAATTCCAGTACTCTGATAGAATGAACGATGATTTGTGGATCAGTGATACCTAGGTTGAAAATTACTTTTTTCAAAATAAGGACAAAATTAATACAGGTACTATAGTGAATTCTACTTATAAGAATACATATCACTAGTATGTATAGATCAACATCAGGAAAAAAAAGTGACATCATGAGTTACAAATCCCTATTATGCCAAGCATAGGAAGTTTCCTACTAATTTTTTTAATCAATGTTCTTTTCAATAACTTCTTCCTCTACTACTTCAGGATCTATAGTTAAGTGTTCATGTTGATGGATTATACATCAACTATATTGAGATTCCACTGAACAGTTTGTGAATAGAACAGAATATGTGTAGTGAACAGTCAATCCCTTCACCGATATCATTCTCAAACTGTCCAATTGCATACCTATATAATCTATCCACATAATAACGGAAAAGGGAAGTTCCATGAAATATGTTGAATGAAGTTCAGACTAGTTTGTATAAATCGATAGAAGGGATAACAAAGAATTACATAATGTTTGAAATAGTAATGATAAGAAGACTTATAAGGACGAAACTAATATTTGGTTACTAAATTAAATGATGTAACACGATGGATATAAAGAGAAATCAAAATTATAGGAGTGGAGGAATGTATTGTGTGTGAGAAGATTTTTGAAGGTAGAAATGTATCTTATAGGTTATGTTTATTGCAACTCAAGTGACTGGACAAATTTCTTTTGAATGCAAACTTCAGGCTTCAAAATATTATTTGGCATATCTTCCGTAGTGTGAAGAAGTATTAGGCATACACCTTTCATGAGACTTACACGAATTCTATAGATGACACTGAAGTTGTTTTCTGCATTTATCTCGTGTGGTCATAATCGATCAAATGTTCTAAAATGAAGCTGTGAAATGTCCTCCTTACTACTTCGTGGAACCAGTCTGGTATCTGTTCGGATATGTGTTTGGATAAGTGGGCGTTGAATGTAGCCAATACAACTTACTCAACAAAAGCAGATGAGGTGATGAAACACACATCGAGATGATCAAGTGAGCTGGCTTATGCTTTACGCCTGATCAAAGCATTGGATGAGTGGAGAAAGTTAATCAGAGTTTGGCAGCTTAGAAAGTTTTTCTCATTGAGGAGGCCAAACGTTTTCTCAGTAGTGTGGATCGTATGGTATATATAGCGAGTTAGTTGGTTAATAACATTATGCAGTTGAGGAAGTCAATTCAGAAAATCCTTGCTTGAACGTTCATGATAGGATCAATAGTTACTGTAATTCATTTGGTAATACCTGATTGTCTAGATGATTGTACGGTGTGGGGAATACTATAAAGTGATAGTTTAATAAAACAACCGGGAGATGTTTATCAGATTTGGATGAAACAAACTAAAAATGATAATTTGGGGAATAATAATTTGATAGAATGTTATTCATATTGGGGGACAAAATAGATTGGAGGGATGAAAGGGATGTCTACAATGCAGAATTAGACTACCTGCGATAGGATGCTAAGAAATGTATGCGTCTTGTATCTAGCCATAGTAGTTGTCGTGGGAAAAATAGGTTTTTTGAGCCCATAACTGGTGTTATTTGCTCCTGATTGGTACTGCAGTCTGAAGGATTCGAAGCCGGTTACCTTTTGGCAAGTTGATGTGAACCTGGTACACTATGCAAGACGACTTATTTTTATCCACCTTATAGTACATTTCAACCAAGTGTGCTAACATAGAGCTGATAATAGTCATTACCACATCCTTACTTAACTACTCTATGAGGTGTTCACGAGCACTGTAGAACCTGAAGAAGTTATTGGAAAGAATATTCTTTGTTCATCCAAATGGCTTTTGAATTATGTTGGGAATTTTTATTGATTTCTATCAATAGTTAAAAATAGGAAATTACCTAACTGTACATTTTTATTGTTATAGATGCCATTGTATTGGTGTGTGGGACTGGTTCAGTATGTAATTACATCAGGAGGAACTTAACTTTTCAAAGAGTTGGAGGCTATGGACATATGCTTGGTGACAATGGATCAGGTAATGTCTATTTCCTTTCTACTGAATGATCATTGTAAAGTGAAACTTATATCACCTTTTGCTTATCGATACTTGAAATTCTCCCGTTTGTTATACTGAATTGAAAAGTTTGACATCTATTGGAAGATAAACGCCTATGTGGATACCCCGATAGTGCTCGGATACTCATTGTAACGCGCCAAGTTTCTGAGCCATACAGAAGCACTGACTTGACTGAAGTGGTGTTGAAAATCCGGATGTTGTTCTTTGTGCTGAGTTCAGAAGATCTGCACACTGGTTTCAGGCAAATAACCGCCTGTCTTTCTTTTCCAATTCTGACTTTGACATCGTCGTAAGTGCCACCTGTAGTTGAAACAGTGCTTCCTTGATAGGTGAAAGAGGCTACTTCCTTTAAGTTTTTTGTTGTTGGTGGTGATTGGTGCTTTTTGTTGATGCTGTTGTTGGTTGGATATCCACATCACAACCGTTTTCTTTACATTCACTTGAATTCCCGTGTTCACTGTACTACCTCTTCTGTCAACCTGTTAGTTTTTGCCTGTAGATCTTCGAGTTTGTGCGACACGACATTAAATATAAATCATCGGCGAAATTCAAGTCTCCTTCTATGGCCTTCTCATGGGTGCAAAGTATGCCTCTCTTCTCGCTCCTGACGGTTTGCTGCATGATCCACTCGACCACAATCAGGATGATCGTGTGTGATAGTGTAGTGGGCGTTGCTGATAACAACGGATATAAGTAGTATATATCCAGAGGGTGACAGGAATCATAGGGAATTACCGGCAATGGGTAAGGTTTCAGCCAAGAGCAACGAAGGGGACAATACAGGCGTATTACAGTAGATGCTGCTGATAAGAGTGTCTAAAGAGCCGGTCAAGAACAAATCAAGACAGGAATGGAAAGGAAACGAAGATATTTGCAGATGGCTGCGTTAGTGCAAGGTGTACTATATGTAACCACTATCATTCCAATTATTTATAATAAACGTCCTCTCGTCGAGTTGTCTTCTGTTTCTCCCATAGTGGAGAGCCTTGTATTACTCCTGTCTTCACTTGATAGTTCATATATTAGGGTATTTCTTAAGTCAACTATGCATCTAATAGGATAACCTGGTTTATGAAGCTTATTAATACTATAAATGCTTCTAAGAATATTAGATTTTCGGCATTCAATTACCTACCATTAGAGTATCGATTTTGTCATTAAATATAAACATGTGGAGAAGCTTGTTTCCCTGAAAACATTAATTTTGTAACTTAAGAACGTTTAGAAAGAGACTAATTTTTTAGTGAACTTAACATATCGATTATTGAGTCTTCTTCATCTACCAATGACTTACTCAAATTTTCCCTAGGTCATAGTCAATAATAAAATTTATGAAGTTGACCCATATTTTTTTTCTTCACCATTAGTCATCGCTATTTCATTAGTGACACTGTTTATAACATGAGGAGTTTTTGTCAAATTACGATAAAGGCTAAGATTATCTTGTAATGAAGAAACAGTATACTATAGAGAAGAGATGATAATTTAGCGAAGAAAATTTTCTTTTTCGACGATATCATTTTCTATAGCTGTACAATCGTATTCATGTATATATCATAAACATATAACAAGTTATTATAAAACAATAGATTATAATTACATCATTAACCTAGTGCTAGAAAGAAACCGGAATCGAGAATGCAAAGTAGTTGCTTAATAAACTAAGACAGTAGAAATAACGAGGAAGGCAAGGAGTTTGTTTGACAAGGTGAAAATTGTTGATAGATAAGAAACGCAAATATTGAGTGTCTACTTGATAGATAGATGGATGGATGTAAAGAAGGTGAATCAGAAGAATCTGCACGAGTGATACTATCAACGAAGAATTAGACAAACTAAGGAAGAACCTCATACAAAATGGATATGCATTCAGATTTATTGATAAAACTTGAAAGTAAATCAGAATACGGAGTGAGTACTCACAATTCCTAAGAAGACCTTGTTTATGAATGTTGTTTTCAAATGGCGATACGGCAGCAGAGATCCTGAAGAATCTGCTGTCCAGATCACTGAAGAAGACATTCTTCTCTGCGAAGCTGCAGATGAGCTTCTCTAGTCAACAACTCATTCTGGAGTGTGTTAAACACTGGCAATTCATCAATTAAAGCCTGGTCTCTGAGTACAAAAGAAGTATGTTCAATCTCTCATCTTACCTTGGTCTTAACACTTTCATTTTTTCGATTTCATTATAACTAACCAGTTTATTATTATCACTTTCATCATGACCCTTGTTTCATTCTTCACCTTCTTTACATCCATCTATCTATCAAGTGGACACTCAATATTTGCGTTTCTTATCTACCAACAATTTTCACCTTGTCAAACAAACTCCTTACCTTCCTCGATATTTCTACTGTCTTAGTTTATTACGCAACTACTTTGCATTCTTGATTCCGTTTTTTCCTAGCACTAGGTTAATGATGTAATTGTACCCTATTGTTTTATAATAGACTTGTTATAGGTTTATGATATATACATGAATACGATTGTACAGCTATAGAAAATGATATCATCGAAAAAGAAAATTTTCTTCGTTGAATTATCATCTTTTCTCTATGACTCAATGGGCATGTTTTGTAGTCAACAGTGGATTAATTTAGATTTTATTTGTGTGAGATTTCCGTTATATTGGGTTAAAATACTTTGTAAATTCGGTGCATCCGTTCATGTGATGACTTACAGGTGATCAGTAGTTCAGTTGCATAAATTTTTATCAAGATATCTTAAATGATCATTACATTATTAGACCTGGCTTCATCAGATTCGAGAAAAACTGGGAAAATTCAGATATTATCCTGTTCATCTTTAAACTGACCATCTTATTCAATCATCTTCTGGTCACCTCAGGAGTATGTCTAAGAATGGCAGATGATTATTGTTCTCTTTCTCACAAGTCAGGCTAATATAACTTTCTACGGAATTAAGCCTTTTCAGTAAATAAACCATATCCTCATGCTTATCACACATCATTATGACGTCGTTGAAATACCTCCTGCAAAAATAAAATTTAGCGATTAGATCATCAACTAGTAAATGACCCTATAAGATTTCACATAGTTACACCATCAAAGGTGAAATGACGTTTGTTGGTATATAACAATAATGGTTCTTTCAGAAAATTTAGAGTAATAGAAAATGAGAGGTTTTTACAAGATATTCAGTCACACAGAATGTTAGTAGTCTTCGACAACGGCACGTTGGTGAATAAAGAATTTACATCGAAAGAGCACATAGTCTTGTTTTCGATATTCATGTTACTATGACAGTCAATAAGTTGAAAAGTATATTTCAATGAAAACTAAGAGAATTCGTTTTGAACTGGATTTAACAGTTTCGTTAACCATTCCATCAGTTTATGTATTAAGAGAACGACATATAGACAATATAGGGTGTAAAAGATTATCGGTTTTATGAATCTTAGATAATCCATTAATTAAAGGAGTAAAACTTGGGCACTGTGATAGACTGTAATTTTATTTTGGCTTGTTTGTTGGGAGTGTTACACAGTGAAGAAACAGTATCATTCACTGGATAACGACGTTGTGGACACAATATTATGTCCATATTCACATCACGTAACCCCACAACTTCCACACAGACGTTATATAATCATAATTCTATCTCCTTCCTTGTGATTATAAGGTTAGTAGAATTTTCCACATATCTGGGACATGTGCAGAATCATTTCCATTACTGCATGTATTTGGTGTGGATTCGATGAACAAAGATTCAGTCGGTTATCAATCTCTTCCTCCCTTCACCCAATTAAGTTTGTTTTTAATACTGGCGCTGTATCACACCCCATTGTGTGTGATTGCGTGCAGAGTTATAGCCGAGCCTTTCTCTGAACTTCTTATTACGATTTACTAATGTTGATTCAGCTAAGTTTTTGTGTTCTGTTATTCTAATCGACCCTGGTCGACTGCTTTGACCTATGTACTTGAACTCGGAATAATTGCAAGGGATTTGGTAAACCAAATTATTTTGACTGATAAAATATACCCATTTATTCATGAATACGAGCGAGACACGTATAAGCGAAGAAATATATCTCATCGACGGCTTCATTATCAAGCTTTAATAGTTGGGTATCTCTTATTCACTCGCTGTTTAGAAGACTTGGTGGATGTTGAAATCGAAACTCTCAGAAACGAACCGTCTGTCATCCTATTACAGTTCTTAAGAAAATCTAAACAATGAATCTGGAATTGAAATAAGATATCACAATCGAATTTCTGAAAAGCCATATGTCATAGTGTATCAATGGTACCTTTTACGTTGCCAGACCGAGATTGATTTCCTCTAGCCATCGTCTGATTCAGCAATGTTTGAAAGATGCGCTACGAATTATCTTCACATCTATGCCTAATCTAGAAATTCGCATACTGCTGTGGAGCTGACTATATTGGATTTTGTAAGTGGACCTACCGAAAACGCGTTGCTGAACATTACCCGGTTTGGTTTATCAAAGGCGAATGAAGAAAAATAACTTCATTCATATGTTAACACCGATTACCGATTATAAATACGACTGTACAACTTGATAATGAAGTCCATTTAAAGGAAAGGCTTCGTTGATACATATGTCTTGTTCTTATTCACAAATTATTTTACCGAATTGCATTAATAGGATCTTTCAATCAATGAAATTTGTTTCAAAACGAATTTGTTGGCTTAATAATACTATTTTAATCTAAAGAAATATCGAAATTCAAATCTTATAGCTTTTAATGAATAGCTTTCATTATCAAACATTTTATTAAATTATTAATCAAGGAGTTTTCTTTTCTCTTTCTTGTGTACTTATAGCTTATTGGATTGCACTACGTGTAATAAAGAAGCTTATTGAAGCAGATGATAAAATTACGGATACTGTATTCATTTGGATAATGTACGTAAACTGGTGCATTCATATTTCAGTGTAGAAAACAATCTTGAATTACTTGAACATTTTTATACAAACTTTAGTAAGAGTAAAATCGCTGGAGTTTGTGAACATCTTTCTATGAGTAAGTAGTTTAAGTACATCGTGTATATTATCTTTTTGTCTATAAATATATCTGCTACATTTTTTTTGTTCAAAATAAAAAATTTTTGAGTGATAATATGCTAGACTGTGAAAATGTCTTAGCATAAACCTTATGACCGATGAAAAGATCCTAGAAGATTTGGATTTCGCCAACGATGATGATTTATGTCTAATGTCTTGCCGCACAAACTCCAACATCTACACTCGAAAACTAACAAGTTGACAGACAAGACAAGACGATGCGAGTCAGTAAAGGAAGACACGACTTCATTCAGGTGAATGTAGAGAAGACACACATGATGAAGATATGCAACCAACAACAACAACAAGCACGAATCACCATCAACGAGAGAAATCTAACGCAAGTTGTCTCTTTCACCTACTACCTACCTACCTACCTACCTACCTATCTAGGCAGCATCGTCTCAACTACACACGGCACAGGCACAGGTACAGGCACAGATGACAATGTCAAAGCAGCAAGGATTGGAAAGACAGCAAGACATCCATTCCTGCATTATTCTGAAGCTAATCAGTGTGGAGATCTAGTGCACTACATTTTACTGCACTCAGCATAAAGTGTGAACAATATCCAGATTTTCAACACTAATTCAGTCAAGTCAGTCAGTGCTTCTATATACATCAACAACAACAACCGCCTACACTCACTCGATAATAAGAAAAAGCAAGGAGGAACTCTGACAGGTTGGCTGACGTCGAACCAATGAAGCAAGAACCTATTGCCCAACAAATATGCACAAGATGGATTAGGTTGGACATACATTGAGAAAACCGTCTGGAGACATCATGCACCAGAGCAGGTCAGGTCCTCGAGTGGAAACCGAATGGGAAACGACGAGGCGAGGGTGACATGGAGGATGAGATGGTGTGAGGAAGAAATGGAAGCTTGTGGGCAGTGGTGGAGCCAGGTTGAAAAGACTAGAGAGAAGAGAGTGAAATGGTGACGTGCTACTGAAACTCTATGTTCCACTAGGAATCCAAAGGACAAATTTTAAAATGATGATAAACCTATCACCAATCACTCTGAATATTCTTATATGTGTATATTATCTTACTTCATCAAGTTGTGGAAAGGCAACTTGGTAACTCATAGGTTACTGCATTAATTTAATAATGTGGATGTCTTTCTACAATTTTGTAATGAATGACTGAATAATATTGTTGCTTCTATTATCCCGTTGTTAAATGGACCGAATCGATCGGTCTCTGTTGGTATATAGGCTCCTGCTTGGATGCTTCGGTATTACTTGTTTTAACTATATATTAAAGATGAATAGTGGCTAGGAGTGGAATCCAGGACACGGGTTTCGTCTTATTTAGGACTCATCAGCTATATGTACCTGCCTCCTAGTGAGCGATGTTGTTTCCAAATAGGATGTAACGCGCATCCTGAATCCCACTCCTAGCCACTATTTATCAATAATATATGATTGAAACATAGGTAATATGGAGGCATTAGCACAAGATTCCATATGCCAATAGAGACTGATCACTTCGGTCCATTTAGCAACACCAAAAAACTGCACCTGTCGAACAAGAAGTGGCTTTCCTCACTGTTTGGTCTAATGGATAACGCTCTCGAGCGTTTGAAGCGATCGGCTCTGAGGTCGAGTTCTAGCTGACAAGCTTCAAATAGAATGAAACGCGCGTCCTGGACTCCAATGTTAGCATCTATTCATCATTAAAGGCTAAATACGTTTTCTTTTGGTTTTTAGTTAACCAGGTTAAATTATTTTAATTGAGAGGTCATTAACCTAATCCGTTCTTTACATGGTAACAAGATTAATGTCTATTGTTAAAACAACCTTGAACTTAATTTATATCGATTAAAGCAGTGTGATTGTTCTGGAAATTGCTTTCATAATGGCTTTTATTTTAACGATTCATGTGGTATATGTAACTTGTTCCGGGAATTCAGTTAGTTGAAGCTGTGTAGCGTATAGTTTCCTTCCTGTGTGATGTTTAACACAGCATTATATCGGAATCAATTATGCTTATCACTCAGCGATTCGTAATTTCATTTAGAAATATACAAATTCTAACTATTGTAGGTGTTTTCCTCTTACCTATTCATCAGAAAGTATGTTACTCCAAATAAGACATTCAATTCTCATCATCATTTATTATTTATTTATTTGTCCCTTGGATTCCTAGTGGAGCATAGGGCTTTAGTAGCACGTCTTCAATGCGCTCTGTTTTCTGCAATCTTTTGAACCTGCCTCCACCACTGCCCACAAGCTCTCATTTCCTCCTCACACTATCTCCTCCATGTCATCCTCAGTTGGGATGCCCAACTCGACGTTTCCCATCTGGGTTCCACTCGAGTGCCTGGCCTGACGCTTGATGTCCCCAGTCGGCCTTCTCAATGCATGCCCAATCCATCACCACTTCATCCCAGTGCATATTTGTTGAGTGATAGGTTGTTAGTTGGTCCTTTGCCAACCAGCCAGCCAAAGTATTTTGTTGCTTATTCTTATTACTCTGGCCATCTGATCTTCAGTAATGAGCCAGTGTAGGTGGCAGTTGTTGATGTCTGTCTGTAGTTTGTTGGAAATGCCTTTCGTAACGCGCCAAATTTCTGAAACATACAGAAGCACTGACTTGACTGAATTGGTGTTGGAAATCCGGATGTTGTTCTTTGTGCTGAATGCAGTGGATCTGCACACTAGTTTCAGATTAATGAAAGCCAATGTTGCTTTTCCGATTCTGACTTTGACATCCTCGTCAGTGCCACCTGTAGTTGAAACAGTGCTTCCTAGATAAGTGAAGGAAGCTACTTCCTTTAGGGTTCTCCCGGATTCTGATCGTTAGGTTATTAAAACTATTGTTCAAGAATGTCCATTTCGTAACTCACGATCTGTTAGGATTTATATTTTTAAATTATGTTGGAAGTTGTCAACTTCATTTGATTACTAAACATAAAAAGAGATTTATTTACATGATGCATATTCATTTCTTTTTAATTTAGAAGTAGTATTCATCATGGACTGATATCAGTTGGGGAACCATTAAAAGTCTAGGAGCACTGGATAGCTGTTTCGTCCTAGTATGGGACTCCTCAGCACTATGCACCCACTACCCGGCTAGGGATCGAAGTCAGGACGTTCAGATTTCACGGTGAACGCATTAACCATTCAGCCACTGGGTCGGTTCCATATTAGGACGAAACAGCTGTCCAGTTCTCCTAGATTTTCAATGGTTCCCCAACTGATGTCAGTTCATGATGAATACTACTTCTAAATTTTAAAAAAATCCCCATTCATCTCAAAAATGCATATTCATTTCATCATGTATTTAGATCGTTTATTATAAAGGTAAATACTATTAAACTCAACGAGTCAGCTATGTAATAGACTGCAAGACCTTCTTTGCTTGAAACTCAAGTTCCCCAGCCAATGAAGAAATAATACAAATCTTTATTTCGGTGAGAGTCAGCTCAACTAATGCATGAAGTTGCCTATTATGTATATTCATATCCCATTGAATATGCCGCTAGCATTTAAAGTCTAAATATTTTGGGCAGTCTTTGACTCTGATTGTCTTTCATCTGCCCATCTATCCATTCTATATGTTGTCTTTTTATCCTTAAACAAGTTTATCCTGTTAAGGTTATTCTAAGGTTTTATTTCTGAACACTAGTTGCTAATATATCAGCCTTATATAAATTTTGTGTTTATAACTTCTGCTAATTTTAGTTGCTCGTACAGGAGATCAATTGTCGAAAGATGTTTTTCGTGATGCTGGTGTTCAATTAGCTCGACATGTTAGAGGTGCTTTATATTATGCCGCTATGGTAAGTGAAAATTTTTTTTTTACTTTTTACTCTGACTCATCTGATCATCTTTCCACAGTTCAGTTAACTCCCACTAAATTTTCATACAGGAGTAGGGTTTAGGGTAACTAGACGAAGACTTGGTAACAATCCATGATGTCCTTTACTTGTGGTTTAAGGCGAACTGAAACAAACAATTTGAAATTGATTGTTATGTACAATAGTGATTGATCTACTTGAAAGATTAATAAATAAGTCTCAGGTTTGCTTCAGGTTGTCATATTCACAATAAATGGAAATTCATATTACTAAGTAACAGGCTAAATCCTTTTGTTTCATTTCAAATTGACACCAGAATTTGGTGAATATATTAAGCCTAAGTAATTTTATTACTACTTGTCCTTTGGATTCCTAGTGGAACATAGAGTTTCAGTAGCACGTCACCATTTCACTCCCTTCTCTCTAGTCTTTTCAACCTGGCTCCACCACTGCCCACAAGCTTCCATTTCTTCCTCACACCATCTCATCCTCCATGTCACCCTCGCCTCGTCGTTTCCCATTCGGTTTCCACTCGAGGGCATGACCTTCTCTGGTGCATGATGTCTCCAGACGGTTTTCTCAATGTATGTCCAACCTAATCCATCTTGTGCATATTTGTTGGGCAATAGGTTCTTGCTTCATTGGTTCGACGTCAGCCAACCTGTCAGAGTTCCTCCTTGCTTTTTCTTATTATCGAGTGAGTGTAGGCGGTTGTTGTTGTTGATGTATATAGAAGCACTGACTGACTTGACTGAATTAGTGTTGAAAATCTGGATATTGTTCACACTTTATGCTGAGTGCAGTAAAATGTAGTGCACTAGATCTCCACACTGATTAGCTACAGAATAATGCAGGAATGGATGTCTTGCTGTCTTTCCAATCCTTGCTGCTTTGACATTGTCATCTGTGCCTGTACCTGTGCCTGTGCCGTGTGTAGTTGAGACGATGCTGCCTAGATAGGTAGGTAGGTAGGTAGGTGGAAGAGACAACTTGCGTTAGATTTCTCTCGTTGATGGTGATTCGTGCTTGTTGTTGTTGTTGTTGGTTGCGTATCTTCATCATGTGTGTCTTCTCTACGTTCACCTGAAGGAAGTCGTGTCTTCCTTCACTGCCTCGCATCGCCTCGTCTTGTCTGTCAACTTGTTAGTTTTCGAGTGTAGATGTTGGAGTTTGTGCGGCAAGACATTAGACATAAATCATCATCGTTGGCGAAATCCAAATCTTCTGGTGTTTTTTAATTTGTCAAGTGTATGCCCATCTTCTCTCTCCTCACTGTTTGCTGCATTATCAACTCGACCATAATCAGTAAGATCATCGGTGATAGTAAGCGGCGTTGTCTTACTCCTGTCCCCTGTCTTCACTTCCAATGCAAGGGCATCACTGAGCTTTCCATTGTGAATCACTCGGCCTATGGCGTCTTCACATAGTTGTTGAATGAGGTTGATAAAGGTTTGTGGTACTCCATAGTGTTGAAGCTGTTTTCTATTTGCTTCTCGGTCGATGCTGTTGAAGGCTTTTTCAAAGTCGATGAAGTTGAGGTCGAGTTGAGTTGACTGCTATTGTATGCTCTGTTCTATGATGATATGTGGCGTTGCTTTGCAGTTTGATGCGTACATGATTAGTTCTTCCTGAAGCCAGCCAGCCTGTTCCGGTCGTAATTTTGAATCGAGAGCATTGTTTTTCTTTCCAGGATGAGGCGGCCTAATATTTTGCGTGGTGTTGGACAGGTGTGGAGTATTATTCTACGCCAGTTCTTGCAAAGATTTAGGTCGCACACCCTTCTTTTGAAGTTTGACAAGGTAGCCCTTCTTCCAATCTGCAGGTACGTTTTCTTCCAAACCTTCTGCAAAAGTGGTTTGAGCATTTCTACTGATGTCTGTGTGTCTGTTTTCATTATTTCTGGAGGAATTCTATCTGGTCCTGTTGCTTTCCCGGCTTTCATCAAATTTATGGCGTTCAGGACTCCGGCTTTTATCGGAGGGTTTGTGTTCACTGATGGTTTTGTGGCTGGGCTTCTGGTGATATTTCTGGACGGGTTGCAGGTGGTGAATTCAAGAATTTTTTGTAGCGGTTAGCTCATCGTTTTCTTTGTCTCTCCTCTTTGGTAACTAAGTTTCTTCCCATATCTTTTATTGGTTTCATGTATGTTGATCTCTTCCCAGATACTAACTTGGTTATTTGTTATAATGTTGTCGGGTTTTAATAAATACAAAGACAATACATCTGTTGATTTATCGAATTCCTCCTATTTTATTAGATTTCAATGCAGAATTGTTAGGTTTCTATCAAATTACTCGTTCAGATGGATAAAAAATATGCTTTTTCTTGTTAACTGATTTTATTCACTTATTTTTCTTCGTATACAGTTTCGTGTAGTTGTAATAACTGCTTATCACCTCCATTTCAAGGTGGTTGATACTCTTCAACTTCATTCCAATTCATAGTTTTGACAATTTTAGCGAATAACATCAAGCAGAACATCAGTTTTGATAGTTGTTAGACATTTAGGAAGTGATATATAGCAAGTGATATTGTTCCCACTGAGACTCGAACTCACTACCCATGCCTTGAAATGCCAAAGCTAGGCTATGCTTAAAGTCGCATGACAGCATTTACAATTTCATCGTCAGCATTCTCTACTTTCGTAATCCTAGATGTGAAGGTTTGTAGGGACTGGATTACTTTCAAGTTGGTATTCATCATAGAAAAGTATTGAAAAGCTGGAAGCATTGGCCAGCTACTGTGGCTTAGTGCAGGTTATGGGTTCGATCCCTGACGAAGTCATTGGTGTATACTGATGAAAAACACTTCACACTAGGATAAAGTAGCTGTCCAGTGCTTTCAAGTTTTCAGTGCTTCTCCAATTGATTTCACTTCGTCATGAATAATCACTTGGAACTTATTTGTATAACAATTCTCTAAAAGCATGAAAATAAAAATGACATATTGAGATCATATTAACCTTGAGAAGGATTATGAGACATTTTTTTCCAGTATAACAGCCGAAAGAGTGTACTGTTGGAAAGTAGTCCATCATTCATAATCGTAATATACCTGTGGAAAAGCTGATATCCATCCAATTGAACGAGCCATCTAATATTAGCGTTGTTAAGTTGAAACGCCATGCGTATAGGACACCATAATTATCTGATCTCATATTTCATATGCATTTTTAACTTCTATAGTCTTCCAGTTAGGATTTCATGTTTAGAAATCAATATTAGATAGCAATGAACAAGCTGAAATATCCAGCCCTACTAAAGGTATTTCAGTAAAAGCAAGAATACACATATTTACGGAATACAATGAATTCATAGTATTTCATTACCGTCTTTTCAATGGCGTACAGACTATGAATACCACTAATGGGTCGTGGATTCGAACTCCACTTCACCGACACCGAGAATTGGGGAGCTAAGTAGTAGTATCATTAGCTGTTGCACAATAAGTATGACTCATCGCCTACTGCGCGAATGCGCTCATGGTTACTGAGTATATTAAAATCACAGTGTGTATACAGAGGACTACAATCTAATTGCCATGATGATTGAAAGGGAAGACAGACATTTACTGGGTTACGTTTCGAGCATAAATTACTTATTGCTCATAATCAAATTGATGTAATTGTACACCACTCTCGACATCTGATTTTTATAGTCCTGTCACCCACCTCAGATTCTTTGTTTTTATTCGTAGTAAAATTTTCTGTACTTCTTATATAGGTGTTGCGTCATTTATATTACATGTGTTGGCTGAGTGTTGATTTGATGAACAAAGATTCAATAATCAATTTCTCCAACTAATTACGATTATTTGGTTTAATTAATGCCCTAAACTAACAATCCTGCCAGGATTTATAGTACTATTAAGGTTCATAAACCAGGTTATTCCACTGCACTTAATTGATATGGTGGCAATATGTGCATGACACATTTACTGTGTTGAAATCAAAACATATCGACAGTTTCCTCACACATATAAACTTAGTTGTAGGCGTAATCCAATTTACTCACGAAGAGGTAGAAAATGAACAAGGAGAATTACCTGTGTTGCATTGCTCGATAAAAGGAAGAACAGATGGTGATTTGGATAATACTGTCTACAGAAATCCCACACATTCTAACAGGTATCTAGACTTCAAGTCATCCCAAAATCCAGTATCATCAGTCAGTTAAGGCAGGTTTAGTCAAATGTCTAGTCTAAATGACAAAGCTTGAAAACTGACTAGTCAGTGAAGGGACCTAAACACGGAAGTGAATCATATCAAAAAGAAGCACTAATAGTTAATAATTATGCTGTGTGGTTTATTGAGAAATTCGTACGAACACATAAGAAACGAAATAATAAGAGTAACATGAGTAGAAAGGAGTTCACTGTCTCTATTGTTTTATCTTACAAGGAGAGAGCACACATCAGAAATTTTACATAGGATCGAACCCTCAACAAATCTGGAATGAGGGTGGCATTTAAACCTACAAAGTGACTGAGAGAGATAAGCTCTGTTGGGTGGGTTAAGGACCTGATAGACGTAATTAGGCAGAATAATCTAATTTATGAGATTGCATATAATGACTGTGAGGTGAAATGCATAGGTGAAACTAGCTGGCTGTTGTGAGTTAGATTAGCGGAAGATGGAATTCTAGGTAAATATAGAATGACAGATTGGAATAAGATGAATAATCTGGGTAGAACTTGAGTTGTTGCAATACCTGCATTACCGGAAAACCATCGAATCATCACCCAACACATGTAAAGGCAATGACACAACACCTATACCAGAGATATAGAAAATTCTGCTAGCAATAGTAAGAAAGAATATCACGTGATAGGATTATAAAAATCAGATGTCGAGAGAAGTATGATTACATTGACATCATTATGAGCTATGATAATCACTGCTAGAAACATCATCAGGTAAATAGTACTGTATCCCACTGTATGTTATGAATCAAATCAACAATCTAATATGGAATTAAATTCTACCACGGTGCCCAAGTTTTGTACTTATTTTAGTGTTACTTAAGTCAAATGAATAAATGAAATGCACTCAATAGTCTTATTGACATTCATGCAGTAGCCATCAAATCACACCTCTTGTGTTAGGGCTAATGATACCATCTGACTGGGCGAAACTGGTTAGGTGGAGCTGTATTCGAACACCTGACCCACTACTTGAAAGTCATCTCTCTAACTCAATGATCTCACAGCTCCAGTACTAAAATCGAAGGTATTCGGTATTATTTTTGTGTATTTTACAAATCGAAAAATGGAATAAGAAAGATTATGTTGGTGTGGGTAATATTTGTAGCTCAGGTGAACTGGGTTGTTCAATCGTCGAGTTTTCATCGTCTTGCTAGACGAAATTATCAGCACTGACTTCAATTGGAAGTGAACTATCAATATCTCTCCGTAAGTGATTGGTTATTTCCTTTGGTTATTGGGTCATTGACAGACTGCATAGATTCTCCTGTTGACTGTTCCTCTGCTTGACCTCTCACCTTTCTATCGTTTATCATTTTCCTCATTGGATGATAGATCGGTTCTATGTCTGTATTTCTATTGATTGCTGACTGACCGATCTGAATGGCAAGCTCCTAGGAATTCTCTTATTCTTGACGTCTCCTCTGTACATTGTGAAGATTGAATTGATGTCCATAGTTGCTATCCACGTTCATTGAAATGAGTGACGAAATGTCGTGACGTTTAGTAGCCAATTGGTGTTCATGTGGACGAAAGTGAAGAGGGTGACGACTTTTTCCAATCTACTGTTGACTACAGTTCTTGTAGTTGATTTTGTAAATGAAATTTGGTTTGTTTACTTTGACTGTTGTGTCTTTTGGTCTGCACAACAGTTTTGGAAGGAATTTGTTGATCAATGAGCCATACCAAATCCAAGTTGTGTCAGTAATCTTGTCATGATTTGTGATATATTCTTTATGTACGGTAGGATGATGTGTTTGTTGATTTCTGTGTATGATATTTGTAGTTGATGTTGTACGGGGTAGGCATGTTCTGATAAAGTTTCGTGGGTAGCCATTCTCCTTTAGGATGGACATCAAATAGTTTCTTCGTTTCTCTTGAAGTTATTGTGCTGCAGTGTTATCTCGCTCTTTTGAATAGGGTTAGTACGTAACTAATTTTGTGTGTTGTTAGGTTGTTGCTACTGTAGTTGAGTATTTGATGAGTGTGTGTTGGCTTCCTGTACACTTGGGTTTCCAACTTTTTGGCATTTGTCCTACTGACTAAAACATCCAGGAATGGTAGTTAGTTGTTTGACTCCTTCTTCATTATGAATTTGATGTGATGGAAGACGTTGTTGATGAAACTGTGAGTGTTTTCTCTATCATCTTTTTGAATGATGACCAAAGTATCGTCTACTTGGTGAATCGAAATTTTTGAATGAATCAACAGTAGAAAGATGACTTTTAGTCTCCTGCATCACTGGTTGTTGAATTAGTCCTGATATTGGTGACTTCATTTGAGTTGAGTTCATTTCATCTGTTTGTATATCTTGTCATTGAATTGGAAGGTATGTTGTCAGACAAAGATTGATGAGTTTGATCAGACTTGAAGATTCTTTTTTTGTGGGTTGTGAAAGGTTTATATCTTCTTTGAGCAAGGGGGACATAGTTTCTTTGGCCAGTTGGGGTTTCGATGGATGTGTATTGTGTTGTGACACTGAAGGATACCAACCGATGAGAGACATAATAAACGACAGAAAGGTGAGAGGTCAAGCAGAGGAACTGCCAACAAGAAAATTTATACAGTCAATGACACAACAATCAGAGGAAAAAACCAACCACAAACCACTTCGTCAGGACAAGCTACTAAATCACTCACGGAGAGATAATGACAGTTCACTTCATACTGAAGTTAGTACTGATGATGTCGCTGTCTAGAAAGACGATGAAAGCTTCACGAGTAAACAACCCAGTTTAGAGAACACAATGCAACCAAGATTATGTAGGTGTGTACAGTTAATAGTAGAAAGTACAAGGTTATAAGTTGATACAGGTATGATGAAATTAGTGTTATTATCGTGCTGTTGTGATACAATGTAATGTTCTTTTCAAAAATCAGTCATTTATTATTATTATTTGTCACTTGGGTTCCTAGTGGAACATAGGGCTTCAGTAGCACGTCCCCAGTGCACTCTATTCTCTGCAATTTTTTGAACCTGGCTCCACCACTGCCCACAAGCTCTCATTTCTTCCTCACACTATCTCCTCCATGTTACCCTCAGGTGGGATGCCCAACTCGTCGCTTCCATCGGGGTTCCACTCGAGTGCCTGGCCTGACGCGTGATGTCCCCGAATGTTCTTCTTAGTGTATGCCCAATCCATCACCACTTCATTCCAGTGCATATTTGTTGAGAGATAGGTTCTTGCTTCTTTGGTTCGTTCCCACAGTTCCTTGTTGCTTATTCTCATTATTCTGGTCATCTGATCTTCAATGACGAGCCATTGTGGGTGGCAGTTGTTGATGAATGTCTGTAATTGGTTTGAAATGCCTTTCGTAACGCGCCAAGTTTCTGAGCCATACAGAAGCACTGACTTGACTGAATTGGTGTTGAAAATCCGGATGTTGTTCTTTGTGCTGAATGCAGTGGATCTCCACACTGGTTTCGGATTGATGAACGCCTGTCTTGCTGTCTTTCGGATCCTGGCTTTGACGTCCTCGTCGTCAATGCGATACCTTCTCATCTCGTTTGCAATTTGGGCAGTCTTGCTAGGTTGAAACATGGTGCGGTCATTCCATATTCCCACGTTTACTTTCGCTTTCATCGAGAGTGGCGAAGACACATCGGCCAATTGGCTTCTTGAATGCTTTCACCTCTCCGGTTCTAGCGAGGAATAATTTTGTTTTTATGTTTTATATTTTGTTCGTACTTTGAAGTTTCTTTAGCGATTGGATTTGTTTTACGGTGTAAGCTTGCTATCCCTACTCCCAACCTTCCTTCTTTATCAGGGCTTAGGACCGGTTAGTAACTAGTGAACTAGTTAACCAGGAGAGGTTAAAAGTCAGTCATAGAGTATTATAATAAAAGCCAAAATGATCACAACTAAAATCACTTTGAAGTATTCTGTACAGAATCCACTTCACCTTTGTTTCATATGCATTATGGTTATACTCTCATATTTTGCTCCTAATTTCTTTTAGAAAACTTTGTTTATTCTATTCTTGACTGTTGATTTTTAAAAAAACATTTACTTCCACTATTTTTAGGATTCAAAACCTCAGAATGTGAATATGACAGTTATTTGTTGTGGTTCAGTATTCAAGAGTTGGGATCTAATTAAAGATGGTAATTTTCTCTCTCTATATATATATGTTTGTCTTTTATTTCATCTTCCTCACAAATCACTAGTCTAATTATTCAACGCCTATAACATACATTGTTCAGTAATAGAAAATAATAGACTTGATGCATTATTAAGATGATCAATTTGAACATGATTTACAAATTACTCTATCCAATTTAACATTTTACACAGCTGATTAGTTTTTTCAAGTGCAAGGTAACTGTGATGATATCAACATAGTTTTCATTGTAAATTAGCTACTCAGCTAATATATGATCTTTAAAGCTAAATATAGGTATACTAGTGCATAAACTGAGTAGAGATTTTGATGAATTATTGTTTTAAGTTATATCAGAACCTTTATAACCTAAAATGGTTCATATACGTTTAGCTTCCTATCGACTGAGTGACGATTTAAAGCCTCATTCTTACATAAATTGAATTTGTATGTATATGTATTGACTCTTTAATCTGCAAATCTCAGTGTTGATGGTCGCTTGATAACTGGAACACAGACAGACAGACAGACAGACAGACAGACAGATATAAAGAACGTAGAACCTCGCATAGAAGACCCCGCATTTCACAGTATTATACAAAGAATAGGTGGATAGAATAAGATAAATGATAATGAAATTATTGCAGCTTTATAAGTCAGCGAAGACTGAATACATCTGCGTCACTGTGACCAATTTTCGGCCATTTCACCAATAGTCCTGAACCACTAATTCTTATCTTCTATGTGACTGCGACCATACACTTCACACAGCTCAGGTTAACAATAAGCGATTTCATGGTGCGACGTCTTCTTTCAACCTAATCCAACTTCTGTTAGTATTGCATGCTGACTCAGTTGGTGACTCGGTATATGTACTACTAAGGTTAACAATCTCATCAATTGACTTGCTTATCTTTCTATGAACCCTTCATCTAAACTCAACATTGCTGACATGGCGATGCCATTAAACGCCAGCAATCCTACAAAGGTTACCTATGAACTAAACCCTGCAACCACTTCATAATGGCCATATCTCACAGCCGTATTGCAAAACAGAATGGACTGTAGTACAATATACTCATCCATTGATATCTTGCCAGTTGGCTCAAGTTGGCAACTGCTAAGCGAGTTTCCTTTATCCGAGCTGAAATTTCATCAGTAATCACAACTTGTTTAGGCTGTTGCCACTCCCCAATTAAGTGAGAGTGGTTACAGATGAGTCCTTGAACATCATCTTACATTTAACATAAAAGTTTTATTGTCAAGTTAGTGACCTCGATTTTGTACACACCTTCCATGAACGACGTTCTCCAGAGATTTCTTCCCAATGAGTCTGGTAATTACGCATGGAGTGATGAGGTTCAATCACCAAGGTTTTGTTCCACTATCGTGTGAATTCGTGACGCGTTACTACCACTTGATCGTACTCACCACCCAGTATCAATACTAGTCTGCTAAACTATGGCTGTCTCAGATAGTCACAGTGATAACTCAGTCTTAATAGACAAGGTGATTAATATGCTGTTTTACTCTTTCCATCTATCATTTACCCTCTAAACTGATTATTTGACCCTTTATTATATCAATCATTTTTAAAACTAATTTGTCCTTTGTCATATATTTCATGAATGAGTGTGTGTGTGACCGAACTGTTCGAAAAGTATTCCGCTAATACATCACACGTTTTATATAGAAGACATGATGTTCATATTATTTTGTCGAAATTTAAATATTTTCTGTTGGAAAGTTGATTTCTCTATTTTCTTATTGTGCTTACATATTTCATTTCGCCTTTAACGAAGACATTTTTAAGGTTGCATTCATCACGGACTGATATCAGTTGAAAATCTACTGAAAAGCTGGGAGTAGTGGACAAGTGTTTCGTTCTAGTATTGGACTCTTCAACAGTACACACTCATGAATCCCTCAGTGGTTTAACTCAAAACCTTTAGATTTCACGGTGAGGGTTAGATTCCAATAGTTCATTGTTTCCTACTTTTGTCAATTTGCTATATAGTGTGGCTATCCACCAAGGTCTTCAGTTGACATCCTGAAGGTCCTGAGTTCGTTCCCTGGAGGGAGAAGGGTCTCCATAAACCGCAGAAAATAGTTTTTTTCGGATTTACATCCAGATAGATGTTCAACAATGTGCAATGGTTGTTACCTCTCTGAGCAGATCAATAAAATGTTCCTTTTAAAAAGGATATCTAAGCTACGCCGTAAAAATGCATAATCACACGCAATTTGTGTTCCTCTATAAAAGTACTCATTGTAGCAATTTTTTACTTAATTCCCCTGTGTAATTGTTAAAAAATATCTGTTAATTACAATATCTGAATTCAGCACATTCGTGGATTGAATGTTATTTCAAGCATAGAATGTAATACGACTTTGGACAGATGAAATGAGAAAAATAAAAGCAATTTATGGTTTAAGATAGCTGTATAGTTTTGCGCAGCATAGCATAAAATCCTCAGTAAACCATATGTGATGAAAGATGTCTTTGTGTAAGAAACTATCAGATATCCTAATCTAGGGGGTTTGTGGGGATATAGTGATTTCAAGTTGCTATTCATTATGGACTGACATTAGCTGGAAGAACATTGAGAACCTGGCAGTACGGGATGACCGCCTCGTCATAGCAAGGGACTCCTCGTCAGTATGCACCCATGACCCCGCCCTGCTTAACCAGGGCTCGAATCCAAGACCTCTAGGTTTGGTGTCCAGCACATTACCATTGAGCTACTGGGTCGACGAAATCCAATGGTCCATATTTCCAACTTCAGTCAGTTCATGATATAGCGTGAATACCACCCAATGTCATCCTTGAGTATTTGTCCTCATGGCCATTAGGTTTGCCCCACTATTAAAGACTTCTCATTGGAACTGCAGGAATCACTTGTCAAAGCTAGTCACCAATGAGCACTAAATCAGTTTATTTTGGGAGTTTGTGGAGATTTAGGGAATTTTCAAGTTGGTCTTCATCATAGACCGATATCAGTTGGAGGAAGATTCGAAACTTGGGAGCACTAGACCACTGTGACTCAATGGTAATGTGCTGGCCACAGAACCTGAAGGTCTTGGGTTCGATCCCTGGCGGGGCTTGGTCATGGATGCGCACTACTGAGGAGTTCCATACTAGAACGAAGCAGCTGTCCAGTGCTCCCAGATTCTCAATGTTCCTTCAACTGATATTGGTCCATGATGAGTATTAACTTGATATCAGATATTTCACGATGATGTCAAGTGATTTTCTTTGGGTTTATAGGTTCAGGCTATTAAAGTGTTAGTTTACAAATAATAATGATAATTATGCATAGCATGTTGACAATAATTAGGCAATCTTAAACCGCGCTAATTGTATGAAACTTAACGATATTGTTCAACTATTTCTCACTAGAGTGGAGAAATGAGGCGAGAGACCTATGTTTCCCTTGCTGATCGTCCAAATGTGAGATCATATTATTACTCTGTCATTCAGGACTTGCTTTTCCCTTATTATACTCTAAATTGTTACCTTATCATTGGTTTCCTAATTTTTTCATTGATTATTTGTTATCTATTCACTTTTGTTTATGTTAAGTTAAACAACCCTCATTTAGAGATAATTCTACTGTTCCTTCGAGATTGATAAACAATCTTGAGATGAAAACTTTGAATTTATGTACCTCCCTGGAAAATGAGATTGATTTTCTTTAAATTTGATCTTTTTGAGCTGATCACCTACTAAGTAGCTACTTTGATAGTAGATGTCAGTTAGTTATCCTTCATTCATACATCATAAATTGGTTTGAGCTGTTTTAGTCTATTTGGCAACTATCAGGGGAATCCAATACGTACGTTTCATCTTATTTAAGACTCGTCAGCTGGATCTACCTACACCCTAGGTAGTGATCTTATTCCAAACGCTTCATTCACCAAAGTCATATGCAGTAGGCTACTGAGGCACCACTTGTATAACGGTTATCAGTTGTTCTTCATTGATAATTAATAATCTCTCGTTGGTATACTGAGTCGAACTGCTCGACTTTTATTGGCAAACGAGCTATTAATGAATATACGGGGAGTATCGAGGCTTCCTCATAGGAGCTCATCTATCAACAGGGGTCTAGCAATTCAATGGAGTTTAGCAACCAGAAATCAAAAGCAGCAATAAACAATAGCCTGAGTTATCTTAGTCTGTGAATAACCGTGATGTTGCTTGATAGAGCATGATCTTAAAGGATAATGGCTGCAGAAGACTAGCATTGCATTTGAGTCTGTTTATTAGAAATATCATACAATTAAGAAACAGTATCATTCACTGGATAACGACGTTGCGGACACAATATAATGTCCATATTCACATCACGTAACCCCACAACTTCCACACAGACGTTATATAATCATAATTCTATCTCCTTCCTTGTGATTATAAGGTTAGTAGAATTTTCCACATATCTGGGACATGTGCAGAATCATTTCCATTACTGCATGTATTTGGTGTGGATTCGATGAACAAAGATTCAGTCGGTTATCAATCTCTCCCTCTCTTCACCCAATTAAGTTTGTTTTTAATACTGGCGCTGTACCACACCCCATTGTGTGTAATTGCGTGCAGAGTTATAGCCGAGCCTTTCTCTGAATTTTCTTATTACGATCTACTAATGTTGATTTAGCCAAGTTTTTGTGCTGTGTTATTCTAATCGACCCTGATCGACTGCTTTGACCTACGTACTTGACCTCGGAATCATTGCAAGGGATTTGGTAATCCAGATTATTTTGCCTAGTTGCCATCAACAGGATCTTTAACCTGCAAAGCTATTTTCTAAGCGAGTCGGTTAGAATGGTAGAGTAGAAAAAGTTGGCTAAATCAGGATTACAAGAAAAGAAAAAGAAGTCGACTATCGCTCTGCACGCAATTACACACAATGGGGTGGGATAGAGCGGCGGTATTAAAAACCAACTTAGCTGGTTGCAAGGAAGGAAAGATTGATAGGTGAATCGTTCTTCATCGAATCCACA